TTTCACAAAGTTTTTTTTTTTGCCATTCTGTCCAGAAAGAAATCCATTTCAAGTAACTTCGACGGGGGAAGTTGTAAACACAACAGACTGGGACTTCTTTACACAAAGGGCGGCGGGGGTGTGGAACAAGCCGCCCAGCAGTGCTGATACCCTGGCTCCTCCACAAATTTTAGGAATCCTGAGTAATTAACAGGATATCCGCGGACTGACTAAAACACAGGGAGCATACTGTGCAGTTACAGCAGTGCATGTCTGCATGCTGTTTCGAAAATGAAATACGGTATAAAAACAAATACCATTACCCCTGTAGTCAAAATAGCGTTCCGAGTATTTGTAATGATGAAAAGGCTGTTGTATTGTTTCTACGTTTTTTCCAACTTGATGACACCACAGTATACAAAAATGTACAATTACAAATGCAATTATTTAACTGAAAAACCAAAACAGCTACCCATTTTCATTTGTACTATTAAAAAAAACGTAAACATGTTTTTGACTTGTTTTTTAATACTGCTTTTTTTGTTCAGACGCCTAAATCCAGAAGTCTTTAATGATTATTTAAACTACCTACATTATTATTATTATTATAATTGACAACAACAATAGTAAAATAAAATAATAATATCAATACGTACAATTGCATCACATTTGTCAAAGGATGAGAAAATGGTTTATTCTTGCTGGAAGTTTGCTGCGTTCCTAATACATTGTTGACTTGTTTGCTTTTCGTTTACAATCACGGTCTACTTTGAAAAAAACAATAATAATAGTTCTAGCGCAATCATTAAGTGCAACACATTTCCGAGGACGGTGTGTGTGTTCTCTACGCAGTGGGCTTAACTGGTATTTAACCAGTAAAATTGAAAATAAACACAGATGCAATAAGGAACTTGGATATCGCACGGAAACATGGCCTCCCGAGCCGGGAATGATAAACACGAAGGTGTTAAAAATGCTCAAGTCGGAGGGGAAGATGCAATCACTGCCTCGCCAAAAACAAATTAGAAATATTTTCCCAACTCTTACCGTGGCATGAAATCTGCGTGTATTAGAGTTTCTGCCCTTTTTATCTCGTTTAAAAACTCACGGATGTAAAAACACCCAAATTGAAAAAAATAAAACAAATCGCGATTTTAGAAAGGAAAAACCCCAGTACATGAATGCAGGTGGGTGTGTTTCTATATGAAACCTCCCCCCCCCCTCTCTATCTTCGACAGGAAGAGATTCCAAACCCCCACGACTGTGCAAGAGCCCTCGAGCTTTGTTTAAATTTACAAGCACTTCCGGGGCCAACCGGAAACCCACGACCCCCCTCTCGCCCGGCACGAAACCACCTGTTTCACCTGTGCGGAGGCACCGGCATAGGCGGGGTTGTGAAGTTCTCTTTTCCTTTCCTCCACTCTGACACACTAAACTGAATGAAATATTCAAATCCAGGATATCTTTCTACACGGATGGAAACTGGCCCAGTGGTTCAGGTCCAGTCCTGTTA